ATGTTTCCATGAATCTTCCGGTACTTTCTATTAGTATTCTGTAGGCTTGAATGTACCGAACAATATGACACAACTTTATATAAATTCTAAAAACATGCATATTACCCTCAAAATGATTAGCAGTGATGACAAGAAGACATCTCAATGACAGCAATGAATGTTTTTGAGTGGACAAAGGCGACCCGTTAAAATTTAAAAGCACACAAACGAAATGCAATTGTATAGACGTATGCAACTGTTTCGGTCTGGTTTTTTTTAGAATTATAATATAAAATCTAGCTAAAGCTGACTTATAGGTCAAATAAGGAGTTTGGACAGGAGCTGATCTCTAGGCTCAGATAACGTCACCTAAGAATTATGAACTGGAATCCCACAAAATGCTCTCTCTGCTCTGATCTATTATGTCCCAGCCAATCCGGAATATCACAAGGAAACTATGACGACTTCGAATTCAAACTTTTTTCACAGCCGTTTAGCAAGAAGACAACTCTTATCTTCCTGAAGGGAATGATAATGAGGATAGCTGGATGATAACAATCACTCACAAAGTTTGCACTTCTGTAGGCTAGAAAAGTGCCTTTTTCTCGTTGCCCATACTTAATATTCGATAGCATCGAAATGAAAGCTTCCTTTGTGATGTAAAAATCATGGCCATATTTTACATAAATGGACCAGAACTTTTGCATACGTCTGTTAAATTATATTAGCTCAAAATCTTTCCCTGATAAAATTCAGGATTAGCCATCGAGAATAAAAATACAAATACACAAATACATTCAATTGGTCGAGCTAGGCTCCTCGTTGATCGGTAGCGAAAACTGTCCTGTAGTGTTAGGTTAAGTTAGACGAAGTGATATTCACTGGTGTGTCGTCGCTGAACGTTACGCGGATCTCTGGTGTGGTACGAGCCACGGCAACACTCAGCCTGAAATTATGTTTGGATAAATTAATTCGTAAGTAAATTGCGTCGCAGAAACTCTGTTCAGGAGAGTCTACTTGTAGGT